GGTCCCTCGGCCCTGAAGAGCTTCAGCATTCGATTTAGTAACGGGGGGTCTTCACTTAAGCTTACGATCTTTCTAAATTTGCTGTATTGCACCATCATGGTGTGGATAATTCCCAGGAAGCTCTCATAAGATGGTAATATAGCGGATCTTCCCGTAAGTGTATAACCCTGCATCATACCTGAATATCGATTAGATTGGCCATAGGAAGAAAAGAAATACCTAACTGTATAAAGATACGCACCTTGACACGTGTGCTCGCTCAAAATTTCGATAACCCTCCCACCGTTCTGCCTAGAATATTGATCCCACTGGAAATTTCTTCCAGTGTGCTTCAACACTGCGTCTAGTTTATTACTCTCCAACTCGTCAGGACTAAAAATCCTCATGTCACTTGGATTTCTCTGCAGGACCTGGTCAAGTAATGCTCCAACAGCTTTCATACTACTAACTTCCTGTCCTCTTTCCTCACCCATCTCGATCCAATCAGGAATGTCAAGCGGTTTGTATCCAGAAAAGGCATCTTTGATCACGCCCATCCGCTTTAATGCGTCCTTCGGAATTATTTTTATAACATTATCACTTGGAGACCCATCCCTTTTGAACAGTGTGTCCGGTTGATATTCCCTTAACCACTCCTGGAGTTGCCCAAGCTCCTCTTTATCACTGCTAGCTTTTGGTAGCGGTACCTGATGGGAGCGAAAAGAACCCTCTACGAATTCCCCGTGGACTTTCTTAGGTGCTCCCCAGCCTTTCGGAGTGCGTAGAAGAATGACTGGCCAACGGGGCTTTACAATTGGATTCCCGGATCGAGCTGCTTTCTGAATATGCTGAATTTGAGAAATTGCCCAATCCATTGAGGCGGCAAGGTCAAGGTCAATATTCTCAAGGTCTTCAACGAAGCGAACCTGGTAGCCATAACCACTGCAACCAAGAGTAAGCACACTTCCTGCGTGGGTAGATTACAGATAAGATCTGATCTTACGTGAATAGAGCGACGAGTTCTTCATCGTCCATACATCCATATATTGTCCTCTCACTGATCTTGAAGCCATTTATATGAACAATCGGCAATATCGCGCCCGACTCTGCAGGATCTATGTATTTATACCCATGCCATGCCCTGTTCACTTTAGTCGGAAGCTGCGGATTAGTTTGAGATACGGCATCTTGTAACTTACGTCGCAGTAGGGCCAGTTTCGGCCTCTCCATCACCAATAATAACAGGAACTATCAAATCCTTCTTGTCCATAATTGCGCCAAAAGCAACAGCTAATGCATACCCAAGCTCGCCGCCTTCATGAATACTTCCTGGGACCTCCGCGTTGATATGACTCGGGAATCCGCCAGGAGTGGAAAACCCCGTTATCAAGTTGTCTAGGCCCTTTCTGTCTAACGAATACTGTTCTGGGTAGAAATGCGTTAACGCACCCTCTAGCCATAAACACGCTAGAATAGCTGGTGCTCCATGTCCTAGAAATTACTGATAGTCAGTTCCTGAACTAAATGTGGTAGTATATTATATTGAATACCTGGCCCGATCACAAACAGCATCTCGGATCCCCATTTCTCAATTGCTCTATTTAAATGTGAGTAAACCAAAGTTAATCCTGGACAGGTTCCCCAGTGGCCTAGAATCCTCGGCTTAATGTCTTTTGGAGTAAGGTCCTTCTCCAGTAGTGTGTTGTCGCGCAAAAATATCATAGCTGCCGCGATGTAGTTCGCTGCTCTCCGGAAATCCCGCAGAGCTGAAATATCTTCGTTTGAGAGCGCATTTTTGATATCGAGTTTTACTGAAAGTTCCAAAAGCGCGGGAGGCAGATGTGAACGAGATGGCGGAGGGTTTGGTCTGTCAATTATTTCGCCAGGCATGTTTAATCAGTTGTCGGCAAGAATCAATAAGGATGAATGTAAATTCGAAGCTGCTTGAAACGAAAGATGTAGACCCGAAAAGAAAACAAGGGCCTACTTTCATAGAGTATGAATTCCTAAAGATAGAAACCTGAATTATCCTGATTATGAGAATTCCCTGGGTCGCGAGAGAATTTTAACAAATCAGTGCCGAGATGATGTCGTATTGACGTCAGCAACAAGTTTTGTACCTGGTAAGAAGAACCCTACAGGACCTGCATCTGTGGTACATACAGGTAATTCAAACTGTACCTGACGTCACACTAATAATATTTGTTCATAAGTGTTGACTGGCACATAAAATGGAAGCTCCTAAGAGAAGTAATTACTCGTGCACTGATGACCGAGTCATGTTCGATCGGCGATGATTGCATTGAACTTTCTGCCAAGATACATGTAAAGATGGGTTAGGGTTATGAGGAATAATTCCCCCTACAATTAACGCTAGAAGACATGCATTGGCATTGCGTGAATGTATGCGGAAGACAAATAGCCTGACAGAGAAAGAGAAAACGGGAACGGGGGAATGAATCCTTAATTTGGTAAATATTTTAAAATTTACAGAAGTGATGATTTTTCAACACGTAACCCGCAACTTTTCGACACCACGAGTTCAAGTAATTCTTCGCGATTATTTTTTGATCGCCTTTAAATTTACAGAATAACTGCCCTAGCTAGATAGCAGCCCTGATAGCTCGTTTGAAAGTAAGGATAACAATCAATTCCAACCAAATAGACCCTCCGAGAAACAGAAACAAATTCTTTCTCAGTCTTTACAAAAAGACCAGGATTCTATCTTCGTACTATTGTGTACTTGTACCGAGACATCAAGGGAGATCCTCATAATCTTCTCTGTCATAACTTCCTCTATCGCGAATCCAGTGGCAATACAAGTAGATTGGGAGAAGCACAATAAACGGAAGGATGCAGATGATAAATGCGCAGATTCGCATTGTCTCCCAAGCTTCTGGTGTAGTATGGAGATTTTGGGTACCGGTCGAGTGTAGTTCCTTTGGGGTTGAATCAAGAGGAAATTCTATCGTGGCCCCTTTGGACGAGTCTGATTGCTCCCAGCGTTTGTTGATGTTGATTGCTTCGCCATAGTTCCTATTGTATATGGGCACTTTCCATGACTAAAGATCAGTGAGACTTAATATATATTAAATTGGCAAAGAAGACAATAAGCTTACTTGGATCACTATCCCTGGGTCTGAATATGTGATTTCTTGGATGCCGTTTTTTCCTGCCTGACCCTTTTAAGTAGACGCGAAGGGCATTGAAGTTAGTAATTGAAAACTGAAATAACACTCTATAAACGAACTTACAACAGCGAGATCTTGGGGTAAGTTAATCCCACTCAAGTCAACGTATCTCAATTGTTCACTGCGAGTGCTTTGGAAGTAACGGAGCAGCCCAGAACTATTCTGGGTTAAGACAAGCCCCGCGGTGATTTTCAGGAATGCGCTCAGAAAGATATAGACAGCCAGGCTTATTCCAAATATGATGGAAGAGTAGGGGATACGCGAAGTCATCGTACCTATTGTCAGCGGGTTAGATAGAGGCGTTCAGAAGGCTGTGGGGAGTTGATCCTGCGGCCAAATACCGTAAACGACGATATTCCGGGGGTAGAGAGGATCTTATTCTTAACCAGGAGATGAATGTATCTTAGGCGATATCGATATATAGAGATGAGTGTTGATAAGTTGATGGAGTTAGGGAGGAATTGTCATGATACTAGACGCGACGTCGACTAGACAGGAAACTCTAATCACAAGTATCCTGAGATCCTCGCATGATGTTCGAAAGTTCATGATAACGAAACCTTTCAAAGGAACAATTATGGGCTTAAAGAGCAAAAGAATGTTTAGTATATGTATTTATCACACATGAGTGGCCTTGGAAAAATCAATCATGCTCAGTCACTCGTTTTGTGTAAAGTCTTTGGCTGAGTCTGAACTTATGTACCTACATAACTTGATGCATCGAACCTAGATTTACTCTGCTCTTCTACGTACATTTATCTAATTATATGTGATCATGTGTAACCTCCCTGAAGGGAATATAATCTACTACATGTAGGTACAGACGTAGAGTATATGTACTTTATACTACATGTAGGGGTACGTGTGCATCGGAGCCAAAATATAAATAGCTCACTGACTGTTGGTTAATTGAATTTATGTACATTAGGTAGAACTTCAAAAGGCATGAAAGGTTACAATGGTTTTTCCAAAAGCGTTTGGTTTCAAATGTAGGCGTCTTCTGCTTTGCCCTGTGACAATAATGATTCGGATAACATCCGAAATAAACCTAGCCCTAATAATACGTCATTCAGAAAACAACCACCAGCTTCCTTATCGATAAGAGATGCAAGTGACGACATCTACGAAATAGCAAGTACAAGTACACTCTTCGTTTCTAGATAAACGTGCTCTTAGTTACCATCATCTCACTAAACATCCATTAGATTTTTACAGGAAGTACTATCTATGTCAACCGCAAAACTAATTCTCGCCATAAACGCTGGTTCATCCAGTGTAAAACTGTCTCTCTACTCATCAACCCCTCCTGACTCGGAACGGAAGACAGAAAACCCATGCCTTATCCTTCAATCGTCAATTTCAAATTTGACATCTCCGCCTGCAGTTTTCTCATATACTCATACCGAGAACTCTTCTACGTCTAGCAACGTCAAATCTAAGGAATTGCCGGATGTGAAATCTCAAGATGATGCCTTCAAGCATTTCCTCGAATACCTTTCCAAAGACTCTGATTTGAAGCAAGTAAACAGTGGAGAAGATATTACTTTCGCTTGTCATAGAATTGTACATGGAGGTGATTATGAAAGACCGGTTGTTATAAACGAGAAGAGTTTAAACTATCTAAAGGAACTCACTGATCTTGCTCCGCTGTAAGAATCTCCATCAATACAGATATGACGATAGATAGAAGTGAAAGCCACTACTAAATTATAGTTGAAATTAAATAATAGGCACAATTCTCCCGCTCTTTCACTCGTCCACACAACTCTCAAACAACTTCCCAAAACAACAAACATTGCTTACTTTGATACCAGCTTCCACACTTTATCAATGCCTGAGCATATAAAGACATACCCAGTAGAGCTCGAGCACGCGCGCCGCAACAAGATCAGAAAGTATGGGTTTCATGGCATTTCTTACAGTTTCATCGTGACCGAAGTAGCGGAATATCTCAAGAAAGTAAGAATTCATTGACACCATAAAAGAAGCATAACTAACTCGGATACTATAAAAGCCTGTTGAAGAAACCTCAATTATTGCACTCCATCTTGGGAGTGGCGCGTCTGTTTGCGCCATTCGGAATGGAAAATCACTGGATAACTCGTAAGTTCCAGAATATTTTTCTTTCTTTTGCGTTTTAGTTGAACCTACATATTATTCCCCGCGCGGAAAAATGTGTTAATAGTTTTTGTCAGTATGGGCTTGACACCACTTGAGGGGCTCCCTGGTGCGACACGCAGCGGAACCGTGGATCCATCACTGGTCTTCCACTATACCTCAAATGCCGGTAGAATATCGCACAGCGGTACTGGGGATATGCACATCAGTAAAGTAATTTTAATATCCTCAGTTCTAATATACCTCATTTGCTAATTTTAGGTAGGCTGAAGAAATTCTAAACAAGAAGTCTGGGTGGTCATCGATCATCGGTACAACCGACTTTTCGAAACTTAAGTCAGATTCCCCTCCTCCACATAGCGAACTTGTCTTCGATTTATTTGTGGACCGTATTCATAACTACATTGGTGCATACTTTGTAAAGCTTCGCGGCAAGGTTGACGCCCTTGTATTTGCTGGAGGGATTGGTGAAAAGTCCTCCGAGCTGAGAGAAGCAGTCGTGGATGGGGTGCAGTGTTTGGGGTTCTCATTAAATAAAAAGGCAAATGGGAGCATTGAGAAAGAGAATGGGATTGTCTTGGATATTGGTGAGGGGAGTGCAAGGGCTCCTAAGGTCTTAATTTGCAGCACAGATGAGCAGTTTGAAATGGCGAGGGAATGCGCGAGAGACAAAGAATTTTGGAGCAAGCTTTAGTGTTTATTGAGATTATGAGCGGGTCCGTGCCTGGAAGTTAGATTATTTACTAAGTTTATATAGCGAATACCTCGATCAATCATATGCTGTATCATTCAGAGGCTATACATAGTTAATCTTCGAATTCATAGCCATTATGCTGCGGGAAATTAACTACAGGTATATTTCACGGGACCTGACATTGCATAGAATCCCCCACAATTTATTTTACAAGCATTGCGCCTATCTCAATGCAACAATTGTCTGAAAACAGAAGACTTCGGAGGGGCCATTACATTTAGGTATCATGCCAACTGCCGAAACGACCAACTTTAAGGACGTGTAGCCTGAAAAGAAAGACTTGTTTAACCGGCGCATACAGTAGCTCCCACCACTCATAACTTCCAGGATTTTGGCTGTACGAAGACCCAAGTTGGCTCTTAACGACCTTATTTAAGCCAAATTATGTAGGTACTTGTGCATCGTTTTCTCGCGACGTACTACGTCGTACGGACCTGCGTATTATACCTAGGAAAATTCGTTCCACGTGAACAAAAAAGAAGGACAGAAAACCGTGCCGACATGGTAACTGAATCATAAGTGTAACTGATGCGCAATAAGCTCTAAAAGAGAATAGACAATCACCATGCGTTAGCAGGTACCAGACAAAGGTGGACTAACAAGCAGTGTACCTATAGTAGATCTCTGTCTCTACTCTTCAATGTAGCGAAAGAGAGGCTTAGCAATGCTTCCATGAACTGCTACTTTAGTGTTAATTCGCCTTGAATAGTTGAGATGCGTATAGTTCCATTATTGAGGTCTTGTTGCTAGACAGAGTCATGCATGTCAAAAAAGACTTGAACCTGAAAGCCCCTGCATGCAGCTACCCTTAAGAATGTCTTTCAAGGCGTTCGATCCTTAGACGTAATACAGTTAATAACATGAGCTAGTAGCTTTGCAATTTTATGCCTCGAACCTGAAATGATGCCACGCGAATCTATCAGAACCTTTTCAGAGCAGACCTTTAGCTACGTAGCTGATGCTACATAGGTACAAAACACCCGATCTGCGGTTGTGGCGCTGCCTGAGGTCAAGTTGCGAGGAGTAGTTTGTGTGAAGCAGAGGAATACTTCCGGAACGATGATGAAGGAGGAGTATTGCTGTTGCTGTACCGGTGCGACATCTGCGGTTCAGAACTTTGATGGGGTACTTGGTGTAGCTACATGTAGTTACCCCGGGTCCCCCAATGTTGCCCATAAGTGATAGCAACGACGCGAAATACCAATATATTAACACAACACAATACCTTTACATCAATGGAATATATATTCCGATTATATAGATGATTCATGAATCTCCAGGACAGTAACTCTAATGTGGTGGGCGATTGACTTTCGACGGAAAGTTGTGCAAAACCCCCCTCACAAACAATAATAATATAATAATAATAATAGAAAACCAGTAGGTATCTATGGCTTTAATTCTTGCTAGAATTACGATTAGAAAGCTCCAAATTACGCAATATACATCTATCCAACATTTGGTCTTCTAAAGAAATATGATCGTTACATGATGATCACTTATCTGACCCCGGCCGCGAGATATATATATATAACCAATTGCTGCCTGAGGTGCGAGAAGGTGTAGAAGCTTTGGCTGGACAACAGCAGACAACTCGCGTAATCAGGCGATCTATATATAATTTGCTTTGGCCTCGAGTGAAAGGTTAGACTTTCTGCCGTTGGTGCTACATTGTAAACACATCGTATTGCCAACAAGTGTTATCTCTGGCCCACATGGCCTTCTTACCTCAATTGATATAGGTATTGCTAGCTCTTTTCTTCCAACTCTCATATACGTTCATTTGGACGCCCTACATTATATCATGGTGCTGATTCTTGGCAGACTATGTGCCCAGTTCGTCCTGAACCACGGATGGGTTATGCAGTGCCTCCTCGTATATCTGCTGCTTCCCGTTTCGCACGCACGGCGGTTTTTCTTGCAGACTGCATCTGTGTATGCCTTGCACATCCCGGCAAACTCCAGCACACACGAATGATCATCATGCAGGAGCTGACGAACGATGTTATTATCAAGGACTCTAGCTCGGGCGTCTACTATGTGCAGCAGCCTTTGACAGGCAACTGCATGGGTAGCACGCGAGAGAAATCGGAGAAAACCTTCAATTAACAGCTGCGGGTATTCATGGCCGAGGCCCTTTTGGCTAGCGCTATCCCATCCCTGGGTTTCAGTTGAGGGAAATGATCGAGGTAGTCACAAGGCATCACTCGGAGAATTTGTGTCCTAGAAGAGGTTTTTAGACTTTGTGTGGAACATTACCGTATCACCAGGGCAGGACAAAGGGGATATATATTAGCAAAAAATACCCAACATAGCTATGTAGATACAGAATGCAATTGAATAGGGCTTTGGTTAGTTGATTGATTGCGGAATAGGGATATCGGAGATTAGTATTATAACAATCGCCGCAGAGCGTTCGATCCCCGAGTTAATACTACCGCCTGTTCCTCGAATTATAGAATTCTTCTATTTGAAAACAAAGTCAACCGGGGAGTGTGAGGAGATTTTCTCTGTGTCCGTGGCCGTGAGACCGGCGTCCCACAATTCCAACCCCTTTGCAGCATTACCAGTGAGGCATGATCATGATGCAGACATGTCGACAGATGCCCTGAAGACAGTGCCGGTGCGTATTAGACGAGAATCATCTTGAGTGAATCTATGCACCTTGTGTGGGACTTCCTGGTATGTGATACGGTGAAGGAATACACCCACCCCCCAATGCACGCTGATACATGCGTCCTTCGATTTGATAGTGTGCCTGTACTACCAAGACTTGATACGGCCCGCCAGTCCATTGAATCGGAAGGAGAAAAATAATGTAGGATAGAGATACAAAAATACGAACACAACTGCTGTTAATATCAGACACGATAATATCAATGGATCTAGAGAGCGAGAAAAATTCGCTCCAAAACTAGGCAAATCACAGATACAGAAAGGAAACTAAAACACGTATTCCCCAGAAAAAGTCGTCGTCAACGAGAACCTCTATGGGTAGTTTTTTTGTTCACAGGGAAAACCCTCCGTTTATATCCCACCATCGGAGCTAGAGGATTGGAGGGGGGTCCTGCCCAAAACGAGAAATCAGCCGGGCAGCCAATAATGGGCCGGGTGTTGAGTCGCACCTAGCGGCACGGGATTGGCTGTGGCTGCCATGGGGGTAACCCGACCTGACTTATCACAAAGAAGTAAGCGAAAAAATGCGCCTACAGGGGCTAAACATAACAGTTTTGAGTTGGTCGTGAACACCTTGGTGGATACACCCCCTCACACCCTTTATGGCAGAGCAAGCACAATCTTCCAAGGTGCCCAGCGACCCTAAGATTAGGGGCAGCAAACTGTTTTTTTTCCGCTCGTAGCACCTGAAAGGACCCCCCCCCACCTCCCCTTCTAAAAGAAATCGTTGATCTCCTTCCCAAGTATCTTCCTTCGGATTCATAAGTTGGCCCCGAGGTTCTTTGAAAAAATAATTTCTCTGCTATTGTTCAAGTTGTCATTCTTTCATTGACGAGAGGTCTGGTATTTCAAGGTTTATATTTAGGTAATATATATATCTGCTGTCCTCTTTGGATGGTGCCAATTATTGACATCGACAGGAACCAAGAACACCAAGAACACCAAGAACAACTAAAGCACCCAAGAAGAATCAAGCTTTTCTCTGCATACGTCAAACACGTCAACTAAAAACGCAGCAAAGTCAACGGCTTCCTAAAGAAGAAATATGTCCGGCAGCACAGTTGAATTCGTGAACCTGTTTCTGCGTCAAGTGACGGAAACAGATCCAGCCGCAGAAGAGGTTGAAGAGGTGCCAGCATGTGGAGGTGCAAACGAGTATGATGGGAGGATGGGTTTGAGGATATCGGCGGTATTTGTGATCTTGGCTGGATCAACTTTCGGTATGTAAAGGCATATCGAGCACCTTACAGGAACCCCATAACTAATTGGAACTTCTTCAATATAGGTGCTCTCTTTCCTGTGATCGCTAAACAGCAGCCTGGATTAAAGGTTCCTGATTGGGCCTTTTTCTTCACAAGGTACTTTGGTTCAGGTGTCATTATTGCGACTGCTTTCATCCATGTAAGTGATGATAATACTATTCTCATCGAGAACATATACTAACTTTTTAAAAGCTGTTGACACCTGCCAATGAAGCCCTCACCAATGGCTGCCTCACAGGCCCCATCACAGAATATCCATGGGCACAAGGAATTGCCCTGATATCTGTTTTTTCTCTCTTCTTCGTTGAGTTGCTTGCATTGCGCCTGGGAAATTTCTCCGCTGCCGGGCATGACCACGAACATGGGCTCGCCCCGGCAACTAAAGAAGCGTCTACCGACCCCGAAAACCAGATTGTACCCGAAGCCAGCCCTGAATCCCTCAATACTCTCGAAGAAAAAGAACTACGAGGGAAGGAATATGCTGCCCAGCTCCTATCCATATTCATCCTCGAATTCGGTGTCATCTTTCACTCCATCTTCATCGGTCTCACTCTTGCTGTGTCTGGTGAGGAGTTTATAACTCTCTACATCGTTCTCGTATTCCACCAAACCTTCGAGGGTCTCGGTCTTGGATCGCGTCTATCCAGCGTTCCCTTCCCAAACAAATGGACGCCATATCTCATGGGCGTTGGATACGGAATCAGCACACCCATCGCCATCGCCGTTGGGTTGGGCCTTCGTACCACATTTGAGCCAGAGACTCAGACTGCGCTTATTGTGAATGGTGTTTTCGATGCCATCTCGGCGGGTATTCTGTTGTACACGGGATTGGTAGAGTTGATGGCGCACGAGTTTTTGTTTGGCAAGACATTGAGAGATGAGAGTATGGGCAGGGTCTTGTGCGCTTTCGGGTATATGGTTCTCGGTGCTGCATTGATGGCGTTGCTTGGGAAGTGGGCTTAGAAGCGGTGTTTTTTTTTTTCTCTTCTTTTTTTTTTCTTTATTTTAACTCTTCATCGGCTTGGGCGGTCATCTTGATTTTTTATTTTTATTCTTACGCATCAAACGCTAGATTTAATGTCTGTCTGCTAAGGATAAATCGGCGTTGTATTTGGCTTTAATTCGCTGTATATACTAGTAGCTCTTGCTGTCAATTTTGTTCGATTGGGAGAGAGGAGGGGCTGCGATTAATGATATAAAGCGCCCTTTGTATTTGTGTATTGAAGATATGAGTATATACATACATACGATATCCATATATATGATGACTATACATGCGAGTTTTGACTTTTAATATGAAAACTCTAATTGGCTGCGAATCTAGGCCCCAATTATAACCTCTCTTTACGGTTTCGGTTTTCCCCGACCGCGTCGTTACGGCTAAATCGGCATTACGTTATTTTTTGAGCGGAGAATTTTTGATGCCCCGCTTTCCTCTTCGAGGGATCGGACGAACTGATGGGCGAGCAGGCTGCGAACCCTGCTTGGATTCCCTATCCAATCTAGGCAGGGGAGGGGGATCATAGGTTCTGGACGCTTCATGGTTGTTTAAGCTTGAACCCCCCTGGCATGACGTTGCGTTAACCTCTCGAGGACGGCACGGCCAATCGCATGAATAGAAAATGTAAATCCGGTTCGGTTGTGTGTGAAAAGAGCGAGTGAGATTCTGTGATTCTGGAAATCGAGGGAAAAAAACACCGTATTAGGTGCATGAAGGTGTGGCTTCGGATCATATCTGCTCCATCGATCGTTAACGGCAATCAGTAAGGCCGTTCTGGCTAGGCCTCAACGTGGATTTGGGATGCAAGAATTCGAAGGGCGGATAGATGGTTGTGCAGCTATGTACATGCGCATAGCTGTGGGATGCCGCGTCCCGCCCGACAAGGGAGGGGCCACGGAGTCTCGAGCCTGACACTCGACACGGGGTGATCTGTCCCGGATGGTAGAGGCGGCATTGAGTTTCGGGCTCTGCTCCGGGCCGGTGAGTACGTATACCTGCATGTACATGCGATGATCGGTATACATATATATACCTGAGCCCTACCTCGGGGTCGATCTAGCCTGGTCCAGAGTGCCCGTATGCTGTGTACGTATCTGGAGGATGTGCCGTCTAGATCTTCCGTCCTCTCATGCATACATGTAGTCGGCAGGCCGGGAGTAAATCGCCCATCGCAACATCTACTCTCCTCCACCTCTTCTACTCTCGTCCGCCTCTTCTAAGCAGTCCTCCCCGTCAGACCGAATCTAACACCCCCCCCACCTCCACCCTCCCACATGCCACAGCTCCACCCTGAACCGAAAACAAATATCGTCTGGCCCCTAAGCACAGGTTATCACTCGCCGCATGCCACGTGATGGGTTGTGTCTTAGGTGAGATTATAGTGCAGTGGCTAAGTGTCGATATGTCACATTGGGCTTGTGTTCACCGGATGGGGTGCGTCAGGTGGCCGTTCGGTAATATCGCATTTGTGGGCCGAGATGGTGTATTGTGGGAGGGTGGTTGTTTCCTTGGTGTTGCTGGGTGGGGGGGTGAGCATTGTTGTTCAGCGTCCCACTCTGGGCGTTTATTGCACCATAGCCAAAGAACACAGCTAACACATATGTATGTGATATTAACCAGACTTCAACTCCACTATGCACAAGAGCACCAAAGCCACAGGTAAGGGAAACAATAGAAAGAATCCACAATACTAAAATCTCGCGCGCACCCATATTGATTGCAAATACGCATACACAGCTTTGCTATTGATATTGTTACAAGAATCGAAAACACAGTCGTTAAATATAAAATACTTCCCGCTAAACACCCCACCCCACTTTATATATAAACCGATAGTGGAAAAAAGAGAGAGAAAAAAAAAGGGAAAAGATTACAGCGTAGCTCATATTAAGGTAAGAGCTTCAACAAACAAAAAGGAAAACAATTTATCTTTTCCAAAGCACAATAAAAAAGAACATCGTAAGTCATATATATACCATAGCTATTATTACTAGGGCATTTATCTCCTCGCGCCCCTCCTCCCCGCAATCTCCTCTGCTACAACCTCTCCCAGCTTATACGCCACCTTCTCGCCAATGCCCCTATGCGGCGGCGGCGCATGCTGCTGCTCATTCCCCCTCCCCCCGCCCATCACATTACTCATAATGCCCCCCAACCCCGCCATGCTCCCCCGTCTCGGCCTATTGGTCCCATTGCTCTCCGAAGCCCTGCGGTGCCGGTGTTCGCGATGCGCATCAACGCTCGACGCCCGACGCTCCTCCTCCTCCTCCTTCTTGCGGTGGTGCTTCTCCATCAACCCGCCCGTCATCATGTACCCCGCCTTCTGCGGCCCCGACATGCGTCGACGGCGCTCACTCGACCTTGAGCGTGAGCGCGATCTTGAGCGCGAACGTGAGCGGCTCTCCTTCCTGTGGTCGTGGTGCCGCTTCGCTGCGAACGCAGCTGCAGTCCCCAGTGCCGCAGCAGGGATCTTCTTGGAGCGTCTGTGGCGGCGGTGGTGGTCCTCATTGGAGGATGAAGAGGAGGACGAGGAACTTGAGCGAGAACGGGACCCGCGGCGATAATGGTCGTGGAGTGCCTTACCCGCCATTCCAGCTGCCGCAGCACCGAGCGCTGCGCCAGCGACCTTTCGGCCGCGGTGCTTCGAGTGGCGCTCGTCGTCCGAAGAGTAACTCGAGACGGAGGATGAGCGGTGCTCCTTGTGGTGGCGCATCTTGTGGTGTGCAAGGCCTGCAGCGGTGGCGCCCAGGGCGGCGGCAGCGACATTGCGGCCGTTGTGATTTTCGTGGCCGGTGTTGGCGTCGGTTGAGGAGATTGAGGATGCGGAGGAAGAGCGACGGTGGGTGCGTTTGCGGTGGTCGTAGAACTCCTTTGCGGCGCCAGCGGCGGCGACGCCGAGGCCGGCCTCGGCGAGGTGCAGGGCGCGGCGGTGGTCGCGATGGTTGTCGTCGTGCCAGCCGGGGTGACGCCCTTCGTCGGAGTAGATGGCGGACTCGGAGCCGCGGCGGCCACGCGAGTGGGAGCGTTGGCGGTGGTGGTTGACGGCGTGTTTTAATCCTGCGGCGGCCAAACCGGACTCGGCGAGGTGTCGTGCGCGGTGGGAGTGCTCGGTGCCACGGGAGGTCGACCTGTGGTGCGAGGGTGAGCGGTACTGGGAGTGGGATCTATGCTTCCTGTGCCTGATCACCTCGTGCGCACCCACCATTCCGGCACTGGCATCAACGAGGCGGTGGTGGCTGTGTCTTCCCGGTGACCCAATGCTCGATCTTCCGGGAGACACAAGGCGCTGTCTCCTACCACCATGTCGGATTCCGTCCTCGAGATAGTATTCATCGTCGTATGAATCATAAGTATCATACGCTGGCGGACCAACGCTCCTGGCACGGATATAATGTGCACCTCTAAGGCCTCCAACAGCTAGGCCAACATCTAGCTCTGCACCTCCTCCTCTTCGGTAGCGAGATGATCGGCCAGGGCCGCTTGAGGTGGTGTAGATATACTCGCGGACAGAGTCTTCATAGACGGGCACATAGTGGTCTTCGTGGATGATTACTGGGTCTCGGGGCGGGCTCATGGCCCGGTGGGAGGGGAGCTCGATAGTTGTTGTTGAGCCGCTGGGGGAGGCGGCGGAGATGATTGTTTCTGTGTTTGAGTTGAAGTATCTCTTGCGCCTCATTGAGGGCGGGATGAGCATATCATCTTCGAGGATAACTGGCATCTTTGCGGATGTTGTTTAGAAAGTCGTAAAAAGGTGTTTTTATTATTATTACTGATGCTCGAAACTGTGGTCGAAGAAGAAGCTGCAAGGGCAAGACGGGTGATCTTGGGTGACTTTGTGATATATATATATCTGATAGTGAGTATTGGATATTGGGAGTGAATAAGAATAAAGGGAAGTTCAAGACAGATGGGGGGAGGAAAGGCTACCTATATCCCCACTGCTCTGGGCAGATGACGTCTGCCTTGTGGGCGAGCCTGGCACAGCAGAGAGCGAGAGACTCATTCATACCTGGGATGTGTGGGGGGGAAGGGTGGATGAGTGGATGTGTGGGTGGATGTGTGAGTGGTGGATGGGGGGGGAGGGGCGCTGAGTGATGGCTGGTGAATGGATGTGATGAATGATGAGGTCTGCTGCCAAACCCTGCAGCCTCACCCACCTTTACCACAAATCCACTATTACATGCTGCACACCTCTCATGATTGCTGCTCGTTTCCCTGTGTCTGCAGCCAACCGCAACCCCTGTCTCTCCCCCGTCCAACCCATGCCGCCCACAGAAACGACGTCACATCCTGCTGATCGATCCGCGGCAGGGAAAAGAAAAGCGTTTTCCAGAATTCTCCTTCCAGAACACCTATGACGCTTTCTCTCTTCTGCCCCCCGCCCGCTCGCTGGCTGGTCGTGGATTGTGTTTCCCTGTTTTTACATACTTTCACTGCTGGCTTCTGCTGCTGCGGACTGGAGCCGAGAAGCCAGCATGCAGTGCAGAAAGTTTATGTACGGGGAAGGGAAGACGGACAGACAGACGATTCATCACGACGACAGCCTGCATACATGCCGTATCCCGATCGCGACCCTCTCTTTTTTTTTTTCTTGGTTCGCCTTGTTTTTTTCCATCAGCCCGAAAGCTTAGCTTCAGTGTTTCCCTGTCCACGGAAGATGGCCATGGGGATCTCGAATCGCCACGTCTCGCTTGTCGATTTTCCCACTTCTCAGGCAGGATAATTGCCTGTTTCTCGCTTGTAAGGAAGATGAGATATAGTGTTATATAGTGTTTTGCTTCTTTATCTGGGGTAGAGTAGGCAGATACCTAGAGAGTTCAGGGTCTGAGTTCAATTCAGGGACTGTCTACATAAAGTGGACTGGCGGCCTTGTTTGGAGGTGGTCAATGATTGACCCTAACCCTCGATCGCTAGCCAGCCAACCATCCCGCACCGGGTTAGTGAACATCACGGATAACCTTCCACTTTGCTAAAGGCTGTTTGCTTTAACTCCAAAGCGCTACTCTGCTTACATGTGGTAGCCGTCTTGCCGTGATGCTAACAGGTGTGCCCGAAGATCCTCATCCAGGCTGTTGGCGGCCGAGGTCTCGCTATCTGAGTTCTGAGGGTCTATGGGGGCTCTGAATGTTTGGATGCAGGAAGATGAGAGTGATGAGTGATGATGGTTTGATTCAGTGGGTGCCGCAGCTTAACTTGTAGCTTCTTGAAACTAACACATATGATGCTTCACCGAGTCTAACCACATAGCTGTTGAAACGTGAGGTTGCCCCACAGCGCTCTTGCTCTTCAATATTGAAAATATCTATTTAAAATCCTAACCATTTCTTATTCCAGATAATCTTGTCCTATCCTTCCTTCTAGGCTAGAAAGGGGAAGCTAGATCCATTCAATTCATTCAGCAGGTCCTAAAGTCTCCCTCCAACTATAGCTTTGCCCTGACGAAACCGTTGTCCGGCTCGGGCATATAAATCAATCCCTCCAATGCCCTCGCATTAATCTGTGCACAAGCTAATCAGCAACAATCCCCATCAAAAGGGTTCCTAGCATAGGGAAGACTTACATGCTGCATCCCCAGTTCATCAATCCTGTTGACCCCCAGCAACCTCATCGCAGTCTCAACCTCTTCCCTCAGGATAGTCAATACCCTCTCCACCCCCTCCGGCCCGTACCCCGACAACCCATACAGCGCCGGCCTCCCAATCCCGACCGCCGTTGCACCCAAGCACAGTGCCTTCACCACATCCGTTCCCCTGCGGATCCCGCCATCCACATACACCTCCAACCTCCTCAGCACCTCGGGAACATGCCTCCGAATCTCCAGCAACGTATACACCGGCGGCGGCGCCGTATCAGCCCCGCGCCCACCATGGTTTGAAAGAATGATCCCCGTCACCCCCAACTCCCTACACTCCCTGCTCGCTGCAATCGCGGCATCCTCATGCGTCTGCAATCCCTTCAAGATGATGGGAAGATGCGTCTGCGACCTCAACCACTTTAGGTCCTCCCACGTCAGGCTCGGCGACGTCCCTGCGAACAGCGCGCGCCCAAGACCTTCACTCTTCACCGCCGTCGCAGACCTCACACCCCCGCCCTCACCCGAAGTCCCCGACACCGCGCTCTCCCCGCCAAATTTGACGCGCTCGTCGGCCTCCCGCTTCCCAGGCGTGGGCGCATCGAGCGTTAACACTATCGCCGTGAAGCCCATTGTGTTAATGCGCTGCAATAGGGCTTCGCTCTTGCTGCGCTCGATCTGCACATACAGCTGGAACCACAACGGCTGGCTTGTGCTTTTCCGCGCAGCAACGATCTGCTCAGGGCGCAGCGACGCATTATTAGACACACACTGAATCACACCCTGCGCACCACACGCCTCTGCGATCCCTGCCTCACCCGTGGGGTGCGCAAGCCGTGCCATTGCCGCTGGGGACACAAAAATCGGGAGGCTGCTCGGCGACCCGCATATCGTCGTGGTCGTGTCGACGTCCTTGACGTCGCGGAAGATGCGCGGGCGTAGGAGGATCTGCTTGTAGGCTGTGTTGTTGTGGTGCTTTGTGATGAGGTCGTCGGAGGCCGAGGAGTAGTATGCCCATGACTTTGGCGGCAGGATGCGTTCGGCGGTGCGGGTGAAGTCGTCGATGTTGAGCTGCTCTTCGAGTGGCGGTATTGGGGGTGTGGGGATTGTAGATTTAGGGGTTGTGGAGGAGAGAGAGGAGAGGGTAGAGGGGTCGATGGGACCGAGGATTTGGGAGGGGGTGAGGTTCTCTTCGAGCGTTCCCGGGGGGTGAATTGGGTCGTATTCAGAGGTTGCGTCTCGGCCGGCGAGCTTTAGGATGATCTTTGAACCGCCGGGGTGGGAGTCTAGAAAGTCTGGAGAGGGTCAATTGCTGCAAGTGAACAAAGCTTCTCTCCCGATATATATATTGGATATATCGTGGGGGGGTGAAAGAAAAACAAAAGCCACCATACCTGTGACGTCGTAAACAACATTATTAATAATGACCCAGCACGACTCCCGAGAGTTATGTTTTGCAACTACATGTAGTTCACCAGTCAATCCCAATCCCAATCCCAATCTCACCCACAAATAATAAAGATTCAGACTCACCTTCCTTTGCGTCCATGTTTTTTCCCTCCGTAAAACAATATACGTGGTCTTGGAAGTATGTTGTCGAGGGATGGATTCAAGTCCGGTTTGCAAGCGCAGTAAGAGTAATTTCCCTGCGCTAGGTGATAAGCTGTTTTAGCCGAGCCGCTTAAAACCCGGCTAGCTATCGGTACTAAAAACACCGAGGGTTAGGGTTGGACGGGGTGCTACCAATCTAATGTTTTGCGATCGAATGGTAACGTTAACAGATATCTGAGATATCTGGTTGGCTGCTGTTGCATGTTTGGGTTCAAGGAAGTAGTTGAGGGTGGAAACAAGAGATAGGCTTACTGAGAGCGGCAGCATCTCAAATAGTGAATTCGTGCCTAATAAGCTGAGCCGTTTGTCTCGGGTTCTTTGTAAGTATCGTCTAGATATGTACTTCTATGTAGCTGCCAATAACAACGCCTGTTGGGAAAGTAGGACACACATGTAGTTGTGATCTTGATCAAGAGTCTAACCAGCTATATAGTCACGGATTGGACAAGTGTCGACATGACAGTGACAGGTGTTGATATGGTAATGATAGGTGTCGATAGCGACATGGCAGGTTCTGGCAGTTCGTCTGTACGGGTTAATCGACATCATTTGAAAAGCCAAATGTCCAACGACGCCCAGCCCCACAAAAGCGAGTGATACTCCATGTCGCACTCACCAACTGGCCACCAAACCTAGCAATCTCCCCCCCGGATCCCTCCCACACCCCACACAACCCATAAGACACCCATTGGCAAACACCTATCATAGACCCCTCTTGGTCTATCAGCTCCAACTCTCCAACCAGCGGCCATCGACACTCTCCAACTGGTGCCCGCAAACACCCCACGTGGTCGAATCATAGTCCAACCTCCCCCAACCTATCCTCTACACAACACAACAAACTCTTGACGACTTGAAGATTTTTGGATAGTAATCATCAGAAAACCTTTAAAGTTAAGACTTTTTGTCGAAATGCAAAAAAAAGCAAAGCGGGATATTCCACTAAAGCTATGCTAAGGGTTAGGGTTGGCTTGGGATCAATCATGAAGGCTGACTCGGGTGTCAATTGATCACGGATAGAAGTGCCTGGCCTACGTAATTAAAATGCATGTTTCCAGCTTCGGAGTTCCGATGCAGTGGAGCACCGGTATACCGTTGTACTAACTGACGATCATCACAGGAGTTCCGGTGTTGTGGATCTTGGAGGTATCGCAATATCCGAATTGATCGCGGAATCCCGTGTGCACGTGTTCCGGCAAGACTACCGTGCCAAAGCTATGGCTTCAGAATCAATATGGATGTCGTGATATACTTGAGTTACCTATATATAAAAGGCTGTAGCTAGCTGCGAAGCCCATGTAATATTTGTCAATAAAGAGCATTACTTGATTGATTCCGCCTACACACTCTTTACCCTAGTACTAATAACTAATACAAAATGTCTAAAGTATTCTTGTAAGCCCAGAATCAATGCGTGTTTCTTCAAACACTTTCGTCGATCACTAATTCCCATCCAGCCTCGGAGCAACCGGTTTCGTCGGCGGGACAGTGCTCCGCCATATAACCACCACCTACCCATCCCTCCAGATCACCGCTCTCGCCCGAAGCCCCGAGAAGGCATCCAAGATCACTAGCGCATTCCCAAATATAACTGCTGTGATCGGGGACCTTGATTCTATAGAGCTTCTGGAAGCTCAGGCAGTGAATGCTGACATTGTGATTCGTGAGTACTGGTGGCCTAGCTAGCTAGCTACCTCCGTCTACATAGACTATTCTAACCTCCTTAGACACTGCAATTTGTGACGAACCAGGCTACGCCCACGCAGTTATTCGCGGCCTTGAGAAGCGTGGAGGCGGATATTTCATCCACACCAGCGGCACTGCACTTCTGTTTGACGAGCCAAGTGGAAATGTCCTGAGCGAGAAGATATGGGACGACATCAAGGACCTCAAGGAGCTAACATCGCTTCCCGAAACAGCGATTCACAGGCCTGTTGAGAAGGTAACTATATAATAATAGTGGATGGATGGATGGAGAAGAGAGAAGTAATTGACACCTCCCAAGATTGTTCTCGCCGCTCCGCCTTCAGTCCACACCGCCATAATCTCCCCCGGTAAAATCTACGGCTTCGGCACCGGCCCCGATAAACTCACCACCACGTTCTTCAAAGACGCCCTCGTCGCTGCTGGCGTCGGCTTCAAGATAGGTGCCGGTATCAACACTAACTCCACAGTCCACATTCAAGACCTAGCACGCCTCTACACCATTATCGTCGGGGAAGCCCTGAAGCCCAATGGTGGTGCCGCTCAGTGGGATGCGGAAGGATACTACTTTGGTGTGAGCAGCGATGAGATTTCAGTAGCGGACCACGTCAGCCTGCAAACAAAGAAACTGGCAGCAAGTGGAGTGCTTAGCAGTGATAAGGTGGAGGTTTGGCCGGCGGAGAAGGCGGTGGAGTTGCATCCCTTCTTTTCAATCCTGTTTGGGAGCAATGCAAGAGCGAGGGCAAGCAGAGGAAAGGCGTTGGGATGGAAAACCGTTGAGAAGCGGTTGGAGGAGTGGTTGAGTGAGGAGGACGCTTAGATGAAGAATTTTTGCCTTTCTACCAATGGAAATCCGCTCATATAACCTTTCGGGTAACTTCCACTATAGAAAGACATAGTATCTATGTGAAAAAGACACAAGTGCAGTAAATATCGATCCATCAGTAGAGCGCCACATAATTCTGGTTTGAGTGGAGCTTGGCGGTATGATACTTCTCCCCTTATTCATTTGAAGTGGAGAATTCTAGCCCTGGCTCTTATCCAATAAGGAGAGAAAATTATTGGTTCTAACATCCAATATCATTAGATTGGGAGATTCCTTCAGTTTTTTGCATTTCAATGTTTTGGCCTGCTCAAACCTCCCTATGGAATAATGTTATTCTGTGAAATATCCATAATGCCATGAGTGTTTGCTTTGACAGGTCTTATGACTCCTTCCGCGAAAATAAACAACAGGATAGAATGAACTGATCATGAACTTCCTCGTGGTAATTCGCCTCGAGTCCCCCGAATCTGGTTGACATCCGAGCAACACTTTCTCGCGCGTCCTATATTTATTAACCCTTTGATTTCATCAAGAAACTCACCCATCCAATCCAGTTCCGGTGGCGGTACTCAATTTTAACAGCATACAGATATCTATGCTGCCGATCCGTAGAAGAACTACCGCAAGGTCCTCGAGTGAGAACCTATGAAACAGTTTCCCACCAGCGACTGCTGATTCTTGGCATCCGGGGGCTAGTTGACCCTCCCGGTACCGCTTCCTGGAATGTTCTCAGACGCCGAAGGATGAGTACTTTTGAGCGCTATATCTACCAGCGTGCGTGGGCATGTCATGCGCACATGTGTCCGGCCGGGCTTGAAACAGCTTTTGAAAGCACTATAATCTATACAGATTATTGCCAAGAAAAATAATTGTTCGGGGTTCTTTCCCCGCCCCCGGCCCTAGATTATTTAAACGCAAGATTCTTTAAGCTCCAGATACCGATTAAAATTATGACTATCGTTATAATAATGAGAAGGGATTCTGAATACGCATACCCATGTAGGAACGTCGCAACAGCTGTTGGCATAGGTTTGGCGTGTGCAGATGTCAAAGGGCGGGAAGAACTGCAGGTCCTCGAAGGGGAATGTCTACTCTGGTATATATCAATATCTTGGCATCAACAGCCTTTCATCTCAGGAGCTCTATTTAAGTCACCTTGTAAGTAGGAAGTTGAACATACGTGCAGCACAGGCACTTTATGGTCACATGCATTGTACACCACAAGAGAGCTAATTCCGCTGCCAGAGTATGTCGGGCCGACGAAGATTCTTGTTCTTGATGATTTCAACACAATTCTTAAAAAGCAAAGTTGACGTTTCGGTTTTCGGTCTATTATGTTTAAACTGATCGATCAGTATCGTGTAGATCAACGTTTTGGCGGTCTACTTAGCTAGTGTGGTTTACACAACGTTCTCCTAGCCCAGTACCACCTACATTCTGCACCTAGTCATAAAGCTGGTACTCTAGAGTGGGGAATATGCCTCACTCTATTCAGCCTCGGATCGTTACTGGCCGGAGCCCTAGAAACAAAGGATATCCAATCGTTGTTATTCTGAGCTGGAGACGATTAGTGATGTCCAGAAACTCGTCGCGAAGGAAATGCTTGAACCCCTTGCCAAGCTTAAATATAGGGTTTTATCTTTATAATTTATAAACTACGTGTTCCCAACTTTATACAGGCACTAGGGTGGATGACTTGATCATGACTGCTTATTGAACCGTGCCAAGAACCACTAGATGTACCTAATCTGCAGTAACCCAGTATGTACTCTACGTGGATTGAGCCTCTGCCCTACGACTTCTGTATACTACCATATCAGTTGAACTCTTGAACAAACCAAGGCACGTTCACTGGATTGTGGTCTATCTACACAAGTACATGTATGTTCTTGTCTACATAGTACATCAACTTTACTGCTCTCGTATTCGTATGATATCTCTAAAATATCGGACTCCATACCTGAGATGTTGTTGCCTAAGTTTTATTACCCCCCCGATGGGACCTTCACTCTATTCGAGTGTAATTAGTTTTCTTGGCAACGGAGGCCCTCCGTTACTGAGGTCGGATGATCTGCAACAAATGTAGATGTTCTGGATTTTCCGGGCCCTTTCCACCCGAGAGCTGGAGATGGAGAAGCATCGTGGTTGTTTTGAAAAGCCGATTCAGAGCTTGTTCGCCCGAGAAGTACCCACAGAGCGGCTCACAACCCCTTGTGTTCCGGGTTGACCTCCTCAAGTGCAGCATCAAGCTTGGCGCCAAGAATAGTACGTAGACCTCCTACCGATTTCAGTACTGTTGTCTTCGCCCGTTGGACCTGGAGAGAAATGATCAACACAACTGTCGTCTGTTCAACCAATCACAAAGGCTCCTGAAAAGCACTCAACCACCACCCTGAAATTCCGAGGTA